CCTCCTCCGGGTTCCGTCCACCAGCCAATGCCTGGCTACTACCCGGGGGAGAGCCTTCTCTGTGGCAGCTCCAGCCCTTTGGAACAAACTCCCCACGGAGATTCAGACCCTCACCTCTCTCCAGGCCTTCCGGAAAGCCGTTAAAACCTGGTTGTGCCGGCAGGCCTGGGGTTGATGAGTTCCCCTCCCCCTCGACTTGTATGGTTGTATGATTCTTGTGTATTTTAATTACGTGTATTGTGTTTTATGTTCCCTTTTTTCCCCCCTTTGGAGTTGTTCGCCGCCCTGAGTCCCTCCCGGAGAAGGGCGGCATACAAATAAACTAAATTTAAAAATTAATTAATTAAATTAATGTTCATCTATTCCTCAACAACTGCTTTAGCTGCATCAGTCTTGGATGGCTCAGGAGGTGGAGAGAGGCTTTGGACAGTTAAAACGAGTATCATACAATACCCAAAGGAGAAATCTGTATCCAATCTGCAGGAATAATGGCTGCCATATGTTGGTACTCCTTATTTGAAAGGTGGGAGGAAATTTGTTTTGCTTAAGGTTTTTCACAAAGGGCAAGGAAAAAATTGGTCAAAATGTGAAGAGCGGAAATCTTTTTATAACATAATTTTCCCTGCCTTTTCCCAGTTTACAGTAGTAAATAGTTCAAAATGTATAATGTATTATTAATATTCTATATTAATTCTATATTAATAACTTCTATAGAGTTTATTTAATTCATTTAACAAAATAAAATCAATTTAAAAAGGCAGTTGGAAAAGTAAGGTTTTAGATGGCAACATTTTCCTCAAGCATCACATAGTGCCAGAACTCACAAGGAGTATTTCAGATATCTATCCAATTTTAAGTTGGGAAAGCCAAGTTCCAAGTCTGAATGAGGAATAAGTCATTTTTTCCAGTAGTGCCAAGACTGAATTTTGGTAAAATATGAAAGTGGGAGAAAGAAGTGAAAGAAACTAGAGTGAAAGTGGAACATCTGCAGGAAAAGAAATGATGAAATTTGTATGGAAAAGTATTAGAAGGTAAATTAATTTCATGATAGTATAAATGGAAAGTAAACAAAGAAAGATATGAAACCTGTTTGTTTGTTTGTTTGTTTATCAAATTTATATAGCTACCCATCTCCCCCAAAGGGAACTCTGAGTGGTGCACAATAAAACAGCCAATATTAAACATAAAAAACTAAAAGCCACAGTAATGAATATCCTAAAATAAAATAAAAATTGGAACAGTGAGAAAAATTATGTTAGAGTGCAATAGAAGTATAACAGGTAGTATGAAAAATGATGCTTTATGAAATGAAGAAATGAAAACAATGTGAAGAAAAATTGCTCATAAGAGATGGCTGTGTAATGTGAAGATTAAAAATATTGTGTTTTAGTTAGTTGCAAATAAAACTTACCAAGGAGATGAAAAAAAAATATTAGGAAAAATGCAGAGAAAATGCAGTGATTTTAATGAAAATAAAAGTTGGTTTGAAAGCAAGTGAAGACCTAAACAAATAAAAAGTATGAAGGTGAAAAGAGTGAATGGAATTACTGTATGGAATTGACTATGGAGATTCTCCGTCATCCAGGGTCATGGTTGTCTCAAAGGTGTTTTTTCAAGAAGCAACTGGACTTTCTGGTTTTTCTTTGAAGACGTTTCACTTCTCATCCAAGAAGCTTCTTCAGCTCTGTGTATGGGAACGATAGTTAAATATTGAAGAATGGATTTGGAATGAAAAGTATAAATGTTAGTGTCAAAGAAAGCAGGGGGGGAATAAAAAGGAGGACATAGTTTTCAGACAGTTGAAAAATACTAAGGCTGTAGACATTGATGACATAGCTGGAAAACACTTAAAATAAAAGTGCATCTTGCTAATAGAGTGGCTGTTTGATTGAATGTGTATTTGATGGCTGTGCTTGTGTGAGATGATTGGAAGAATGTTGTTAATAGAGTAGAATGTTGTTAATGTTTTTTCTAGAATGCAAAAGCAAGATAGTGAATATAAAAATTACAAGATTACTTTGATAAAATGTGACTGGGTGGTTGTTTGGCAGAATTCTGATTGGAAGGGTAAAAGTAAGACCAAATAATTCCAATTGACTCCAATTAACACTGACACCAAGTCCCCAAGTCTGTGTTTAAACCAGGTAGATCAAAATTGAGTGTTAATCCAAATTAAAACCTAAGCCATATGTTGCAAAATAATAATCTGTAAACTTGTAATACATTCAGGAGACAAATAAAATAATTAAGCATCAGGTGGGATAGTCACAATAGTCTTTCCACCAGGGCATTCAAGTATTTGGGGCATTACGATTCCAGATGATGAGGATGATGATTGAAAAGACATGTTTCTATGAGGGTAGAATCTTTCAAGAGACTAGATTTCGTTGGATAGGAAAATGTCACTGGCATAAGAGATTCCCAAAGATACTCAGATCCCAAATCTTAATGTTCAGTAAAACATACATATTTGGTGTTGATATAAACTAATTTTAGCTATG